ACAATTTATATAACACACTATTATCATAGCCAGGTTTCAATCTTAGGACCTGTGGGTTATGGGCCCACCACGCTTCCGCTGCGCCACTCTGATTTTGCTTTGGTGCAACACGAATAAAGATATATCGTGTACTTTAATTTTTCTACAACTTGGTTTTTGCCAGACCTTATTTAGTGAGGTTTAAACAAGGCAAGAGTATGATGTAGTTATGTTTCGGGGGAGTATTGTAAATAAACATATGTGGACATTACATACTAGAGAAATTATAATAATATCTCTCACTTTAATCTGTTGCATTCTTGTGATGTAAACAATATAATTTTTCACGGGATAAAGTTAGAAATTGTACCCTTTTCTTTTCTTTCAACCTCATCCAAGTTTTCCTCAACAGAGATTGTGTGATTAGGTGCCCTCAACCAATCTTGTGCGTAGGCTTCCACAATTTTAGGTGTTAAGAAACACCTTAAGGCATCTAATACCCTACCACTAATACTAAATGCACTCTTAGAGCAACTGTGGATATGGATACAACTAGTAGATCCCTTACCATTTTTGTGAAAATAGGAAATATCTCACTATTCACCTTCCACCGCCTAAGCACATCAAATTCAGCAGTTTCTTCCTCTTCAACTATATTTGCACTCAATTAAGTATGCAGTTCAGTCTACTTACTGCTTCCACCACCACACTCCATTTTCTGTTATTTAGCTGGCCTTTCAACCAAGACAAAGTTTTTCGAACTGTAGTTTCAGAATGGACATATTTTTCTTCAAATTGCGAAATAAGAGGATGAAGACCGCACAAAGGTGACAATGTAGGTAGCTGCATAGTTATTAAACAGCTCATCCAATGCACCTTGAACCTTTGCAAAGTAAGATTTGCTTTTTCTTCAACATACAACAGGGCAAATTGGTGAGGCATATTCTCAATCTTGTCATTGGGATCCAAAATATTGACATAAAATATCAAGAAACTCATTTTTTCTTGATCCCTTCAAAATATTTCAAACTTTAGTTTCATTTGAGACCCCCTTACCTAAAAAAAAAAAAAAAAATAGAACATAGAATCATAGACACGAAAAACTCATAGACATATTCACTCATAAATCTTTGAAAATTATACACAGAAAAATCATAAACAGATTACCTTTACATAGCTATATTCCCTACTAATGTTTTTAAAGTCAAAATACAATCTATATGTAATACAAAACGTGTAATATAAATCAGAAGGGCATTAACCATTTGGTCCATTAATGATTTTTTCTATTATTATATTTCATGTCAATTTGTATTTTTCTTATGTGTAATTGTTTTATATACGAAACTGAAAATTTATATGTTCTATTTTATATTTATTTTCGTAGATTTGATGAACTGTAGTTGTCATTTGAAAATTGAAGGAATTTAATGAAATTAGTAAATTTAAATTCAGAAAATTATATATCTGACGGGTTTTTAAAAAATTACACGAGTTGGGTGTCCAAATATTACCCGTGAACTAGTACTCTCCCGAAGTTTAATGATTTACGTGATCGAATTTACTCAATAATAAATATTTCTACAATTAGAATTAAATGAATTAGATATGCTAGGAATTAATCCCTATGCCTTTCCCATGCAAAGCAAGCACTCTACCGTTTGAGCTACATCCCCTACTATTATACAAAATACAATTTATATAACACACTATTATCATAGCCAGGTTTCAATCTTAGGACCTGTGGGTTATGGGCCCACCACGCTTCCGCTGCGCCACTCTGATTTTGCTTTGGTGCAACACGAATAAAGATATATCTTGTACTTTAATTTTTCTACAACTTGGTTTTTGCCAGACCTTATTTAGTGAGGTTTAAACAAGGCAAGAGTATGATGTAGTTATGTTTCGGGGGAGTATTGTAAATAAACATATGTGGACATTACATACTAGAGAAATTATAATAATATCTCTCACTTTAATCTGTTGCATTCTTGTGATGTAAACAATATAATTTTTCACGGGATAAAGTTAGAAATTGTACCCTTTTCTTTTCTTTCAACCTCATCCAAGTTTTCCTCAACAGAGATTGTGTGATTAGGTGCCCTCAACCAATCTTGTGCGTAGGCTTCCACAATTTTAGGTGTTAAGAAACACCTTAAGGCATCTAATACCCTACCACTAATACTAAATGCACTCTTAGAGCAACTGTGGATATGGATACAACTAGTAGATCCCTTACCATTTTTGTGAAAATAGGAAATATCTCACTATTCACCTTCCACCGCCTAAGCCACATCAAATTCAGCAGTTTCTTCCTCTTCAACTATATTTGCACTCAATTAAGTATGCAGTTCAGTCTACTTACTGCTTCCACCACCACACTCCATTTTCTGTTATTTAGCTGGCCTTTCAACCAAGACAAAGTTTTTCGAACTGTAGTTTCAGAATGGACATATTTTTCTTCAAATTGCGAAATAAGAGGATGAAGACCGCACAAAGGTGACAATGTAGGTAGCTGCATAGTTATTAAACAGCTCATCCAATGCACCTTGAACCTTTGCAAAGTAAGATTTGCTTTTCTTCAACATACAACAGGGGCAAATTGGTGAGGCATATTCTCAATCTTGTCATTGGGATCCAAAATATTGACATAAAATATCAAGAAACTCATTTTTTCTTGATCCCTTCAAAATATTTCAAACTTTAGTTTCATTTGAGACCCCCTTACCTAAAAAAAAAAAAAAATAGAACATAGAATCATAGACACGAAAAACTCATAGACATATTCACTCATAAATCTTTGAAAATTATACACAGAAAAATCATAAACAGATTACCTTTACATAGCTATATTCCCTACTAATGTTTTTATAGTCAAAATACAATCTATATGTAATACAAAACGTGTAATATAAATCAGAAGGGCATTAACCATTTGGTCCATTAATGATTTTTTCTATTATTATATTTCATGTCAATTTGTATTTTTCTTATGTGTAATTGTTTTATATACGAAACTGAAAATTTATATGTTCTATTTTATATTTATTTTCGTAGATTTGATGAACTGTAGTTGTCATTTGAAAATTGAAGGGAATTTAATGAAATTAGTAAATTTAAATTCAGAAAATTATATATCTGACGGGTTTTTAAAAAATTACACGAGTTGGGTGTCCAAATATTACCCGTGAACTAGTACTCTCCCGAAGTTTAATGATTTACGTGATCGAATTTACTCAATAATAAATATTTCTACAATTAGAATTAAATGAATTAGATATGCTAGGAATTAATCCCTATGCCTTTCCCATGCAAAGCAAGCACTCTACCGTTTGAGCTACATCCCCTACTATTATACAAAATACAATTTATATATAAATCACGAAAACTATTTCAAAAAATGTCGACACACTATTATCAGAGCCAGGTTTCGATCCTGGGACCTGTGGGTTATGAGCCCACCACGCTTCCGCTGCGCCACTCTGATTTTGCTTTGGTGCAACACGAATAAAGATATATCTTGTACTTTATTTTTCCTACAACTTGGTTTTCGCCAGAGCTTATTTAGTGAGGTTTAAACAAGGCAAGAGTATGATGTAGTTATGTTTCGAGGGAGTATTGTAAATAAACATATGTGGACATTACGTACTAGATAAATTATAATAATATCTTCACTTTACTCTGTTGCATTCTTGTGATGTAAACAATATAATTTTTCACGGATAAAGTTAAAAATTGTACCCTTTTCTTTTCTTTCAACCTCATCCAAGTTTTCCTCAACAGAGATTGTTGATTAGGTGCCCTCAACCAATCTTGTGCGTAGGCTTCCACAATTTTAGGTGTTAAGAAACACCTTAAGGCATCTAATACCCTACCACTAGTACTAAATGCACTCTTAGAGCAACTTGGATATGGATACAACTAGTTCCCTTACCATTTTTGTGAGAATAGGAAATATCTCACTATTCACCTTCCACCGCCTAAGCACATCAAATTCAGCAGTTTCTTCCTCTTCCACTATATTTGCACTCAATTAAGTATGCAGTTCAGTCTACTTATGCTTCCACCACCACTCTCATTTTCTGTTATTTATGGCCTTTCAACCAAGACAAAGTTTTTCGAACTGTAGTTTCAGAATGGACATATTTTGATTCAAATTGCAAATAAGGGGATGAAGACCGCACAGAGGTTGTAGGTAGCTGCATAGTCATTAAACAGCTCATCCAATGCACCTTGAACCTTTGCAAAGTTTTGCTTTTTCTTCAACATTTGGTGAGGCATATTCTCAATCTTATCATTGGGATCCAGACATAAAATATCAAGAAACTCATTTTTTCTTGAAAAATTTTTCAAACTTTAGTTTCATTTGTTACCTAAAAAAAAAATAGAACATAGAATCATAGACACGAAAAACTCATAGACATATTCACTCATAAATCTTTGAAAATTATACACAAAAAATCATAAACAGTTTACCTTTACATAGCTATAACTAATGTTTTTATAGTCAAAATACAATCTATATGTAATACAAAACGTGTAATATAAATCAGAAGGGCATTAACCATTTGGTCCATTAAAGATTTTTTCTATTATTATATTTGATGTCAATTTGTATTTTTCTTATGTGTAATTGTTTTATATACGAAACTGAAAATTTATATGTTCTATTTTATATTTATTTCGTAGATTTGATGAACTGTAGTTGTCATTTGAAACTTGAAGGAATTTAATGAAATTAGTAAATTTAAATTCAGAAAATTATATATCTGACGTGAGTTGGGTGTCCAAATATTACTGAGTACTCTCCCGAAGTTTAATGATTTACGTGATCGAATTTACTCAATAATAAATATTTCTACAATTAGAATTAAACGAATTAGATATGCTAGGAATTAATCCCTATGCCTTTCCCATGCAAAGCAAGCACTCTACCATTTGAGCTACATCCCCTACTATTATACAAAATACAATTTATATATAAATCAGGAAAACTATTTCAAAAAATGTCGACACACTATTATCAGAGCCAAGTTTCGATCCTGGGACCTGTGGGTTATGAGCCCACCACGCTTCCGCTGCGCCACTCTGATTTTGCTTTGGTGCAACACGAATAAAGATATATCTTGTACTTTCATTTTTCCACAACTTGGTTTTCGCCAGAGCTTATTTAGTGAGGTTTAAACAAGGCAAGAGTATGATGTAGTTATGTTTCGAGGGAGTATTGTAAATAAACATATGTGGACATTACGTACTAGATAAATTATAATAATATCTTTCACTTTACTCTGTTGCATTCTTGTGATGTAAACAATATAATTTTTCACGGGATAAAGTTAAAAATTGTACCCTTTTCTTTTCTTTCAACCTCATCCAAGTTATCCTGAACAGAGATTGTTTGATTAGGTGCCCTCAACCAATCTTGTGCGTAGGCTTCCACAATTTTAGGTGTTAAGAAACACCTTAAGGCATCTAATACCCTACCACTAGTACTAAATGCACTCTTAGAGCAACTATGGATATGGATACAACTAGTACATCCCTTACCATTTTTGTGAGAATAGGAAATATCTCACTATTCACCTTCCACCGCCTAAGCACATCAAATTCAGCAGTTTCTTCCTCTTCCACTATATTTGCACTCAATTAAGTATGCAGTTCAGTCTACTTATTGCTTCCACCACCACTCTCCATTTTCTGTTATTTAGTTGGCCTTTCAACCAAGACAAAGTTTTTCGAACTGTAGTTTCAGAATGGACATATTTTGATTCAAATTGCAAATTAAGGGGATGAAGACCACACAGAGGTGACAATGTAGGTAGCTACATAGTCATTAAACAGCTCATCCAATGCACCTTGAACCTTTGCAAAGTTAGATTTGCTTTTTCTTCAACATACAACAGGGAAAATTGGTGAGGCATATTCTCAATCTTATCATTGGGATCCAAAATATTGACATAAAATATCAAGAAACTCATTTTTTCTTGATCCCTCAAAATTTTTCAAACTTTAGTTTCATTTGAGACCCCCTTACCTAAAAAAATAAAAATAGAACATAGAATCATAGACACCAAAAACTCATAGACATATTCACTCATAAATCTTTGAAAATTATACACAAAAAAATCATAAACAGTTTACCTTTACATAGCTATATCCCCTACTAATGTTTTTATAGTCTAAATACAATCTATGTGTAATACAAAACGTGTAATATAAATCAGAAGGGCATTAACCATTTGGTCCATTAAAGATTTTTTCTATTATTATATTTGATGTCAATTTGTATTTTTCTTATGTGTAATTGTTTTATATACGAAACTGAAAATTTATATGTTCTATTTTATATTTATTTCGTAGATTTGATGACTGTAGTTGTCATTTGAAACTTGAAGGAATTTAATGAAATTAGTAAATTTAAATTCAGAAAATTATATATCTGACGGGTTTTTTAAAAAATTACACGAGTTGGGTGTCCAAATATTACCCCGTGAACTAATACTCTCCCCGAAGTTCAATGATTTACTTGATCGAATTTACTCAATAATAAATATTGCTACTATTAGAATTAAACGAATTAGATATGCTAGGAATTAATCCCTATGCCTTTCCCATGCAAAGCAAGCACTTTACCATTTGAGCTACATCCCCTACTATTATACAAAATACAATTTATATATAAATCAGGAAAACTTTTTCAAAAATGTTAACACACTATTATCAAGCCAAGTTTCGATCTGGAGACCTATGGGTTATGAGCCCACCACGCTTCCGCTGCGCCACTCTGATTTTGCTTTGGTGCAACACGAATAAAGATATATCTTGTACTTTAATTTTTCCACAACTTGGTTTTCGCCAGAGCTTTTTAGTGAGGTTTAAACAAGGCAAGAGTATGATGTAGTTATGTTTCTATTGTAAATAAACATATGTGGACATTACGTACTAGAGAAATTATAATAATATCACTTTACTCTGTTGCATTCTTGTGATGTAAACAATATAATTTTTCACGGGATAAAGTTAGCCCTTTTCTTTTCTTTCAACCTCATCCAAGTTTTCCTGAACAGAGATTGTTGATTAGGTGCCCTCAACCAATCTTGTGCGTAGGCTTCCACAATTTTAGGTGTTAAGAAACACCTTAAGGCATCTAATACCCTACCACTAGTACTAAATGCACTCTTAGAGCAACTATGGATATGGATACAACTAGTACATCCCTTACCATTTTTGTGAGAATAGGAAATATCTCACTATTCACCTTCCACCGCCTAAGCACATCAAATTCAGCAGTTTCTTCCTCTTCCACTATATTTGCACTCAATTAAGTATGCAGTTCAGTCTACTTATTGCTTCCACCACCACTCTCATTTTCTGTTATTTAGTGGCCTTTCAACCAAGACAAAGTTTTTCGAACTGTAGTTTCAGAATGGACATATTTTGATTCAAATTGCAAATAAGGGATGAAGACCACACAGAGGTGACAATGTAGGTAGCTGCATAGTCATTAAACAGCTCATCCAATGCACCTTGAACCTTTGCAAAGTAAGATTTGCTTTTTCTTCAACATACAACAGGGAAATTGGTGAGGCATATTCTCAATCTTATCATTGGGATCCAAAATATTGACATAAAATATCAAGAAACTCATTTTTTCTTGATAAATTTTTCAAACTTTAGTTTCATTTGAGACCCCCTTACCTAAAAAAAAAAAAATAGAACATAGAATCATAGACACGAAAAACTCATAGACATATTCACTCATAAATCTTTGAAAATTATACACAAAAAATCATAAACAGTTTACCTTTACATAGCTATATCCCCTACTAATGTTTTTATAGTCAAAATACAATCTATGTGTAATACAAAACGTGTAATATAAATCAGAAGGGCATTAACCATTTGGTCCATTAAAGATTTTTTCTATTATTCTATTTGATGTCAATTTGTATTTTTCTTATGTGTAATTGTTTTATATACGAAACTGAAAATTTATATGTTCTATTTTATATTTATTTTCGTAGATTTGATGAACTGTAGTTGTCATTTGAAACTTGAAGGAATTTAATGAAATTAGTAAATTTAAATTCAGAAAATTATATATCTGACGGGTTTTTAAAAAATTACACGAGTTGGGTGTCCAAATATTACCCGTGAACTAATACTCTCCCGAAGTTCAATGATTTACGTATCGAATTTACTCAATAATAAATATCTACAATTAGAATTAAACGAATTAGATATGCTAGGAATTAATCCCTATGCCTTTCCCATGCAAAGCAAGCACTCCACCATTTGAGCTACATCCCTACTATTATACAAAATACAATTTATATATAAATCAAGTTTTCAAAAATGTTAACACACTATTATCAGCGCCAGTTTCGATCTTGACCTATGGGTTATGAGCCCACCACGCTTCCGCTGCGCCACTCTGATTTTGCTTTGGTGCAATCTCACAAAAGATATATCAATACTTTAATGATATGGAAAGCTTTCTTTGAATTTTGTATGCTCTGTTTAGCTCTGTCACTTTAAAGCTCTTGCATTCTCTGTTCTTCTTCTTTCCTTCCTCAGCTTCAATCTTCATCTATTTATAGCTGGTAATGAGAATCCGTCCGTTGGAAAGAAACGGTCTCATTTTCGAATTTTGCTTAGCTGTATAGCCTTTTGTCAGAAGATAAGATAACGTTGCAGATCTTTCAGATATTTCAAATTGAGCTTGAGGTTTAAGCAAAAATGGCGTCCCATGAATCTCCATCTGGTGTAGATCACGCCTCTTGGGATTTTTATCTTCAAAATATATTCTCCAATATAATCCCTTACTAGTTAGACTAGTATTTTTGCTCCTGCAACTTCTTCTAATTTCTTCCTCTGTTTTTCGTGTATCTGGGTCTTTATACTGCTTCCAGACTTCATCTCTTTGACTTAAATCTCTATTTCATCCCTTTCTATTTTTCACCTGATCTTGCGTAAGAATGAAGACTTTCAGAGTTGTATGTTGGTTCTGCATTCATTAAAACATCTCATTCCGCACCTTGAAATCCTTGCCAAAGTCGTTTGCTTTTTTTCAACATACAAAGGGATAGATTTGATAGCTTCACACGTATTTCTTCTCAAATTTCATTATCATTGGATATCTTCAATTTCCTCAACTAATTGTAAATAAAATATGAAAAATCTCAATTTTTCCTAACAATTGATAATGCCATAACCTCTCAAACAAAGTTTTTAATTTTATTTCCATTTCAAGTCCTTGCATCCTTGACCCCCGTTACAACTATTCAAAAATTAAAAAAAAATTAGACTTAGATCATTTTTAGTCGAATCAGCCAAAATCATAGACATCGAGGAATATACCTTCACTCCCATGTCAGCTTTCAATATATCCTTGATATGTTCTCTCATCTTGCAGATATCATTCTTGAACTTCTCACATTCAAATTTCTTAGTCACATTCCCAGCCATGTAGTGTCCAAAGGCCTCTTTAATGTTGGTGCCCGGAAGAGCTTCCTACCAAATTATGCATTCTTCAAAGCTTCTTTGGAATCCCAGACTTTCACCATTATTCTTGGTATAGTCTCTGAGCTCATACCACATTTCGGTTTGCTTCCTTTTTGCTTCTTCTTCTTTATTCTTGTCCGAAATCCATTGAGCTTGATCAGCTTTTGGCCATCTTTTCACCATAGCCGGCACATTTTCGGATGTCCAGACTTTCTGCGGTGTTAAGGTTCCTTTTGAGCATTCGAACCAATCTCGAGTTTCGGCCACTTTTGATGAACTTGATCCAAGACTCGGATTTGCAAATTGAGCGAAACCAACTTGGGATTGTTGACCACGTCCTCGTCCACGGCCTTTCGTAGGTGCGGCGGTCTGAGCTGGTTGTTGTGACTGATTTCCAATGATGAATTCATGTTGTTGTAAAGCCAGATGATTGAGAATTTCTTCCCCCCTTATGGCATTATCAATCAAAAAGCCAAGGGATTTGGAATCTTGTTCTTGATTGGCTTTAACAATCTTAACTCCATCATGTGTTTTCAGAGAAACATCCTGCAAAACAGACAATTTATTAGCCATGGAGGATAATTCCACCTCAAGGTGATTTATCCTTGTTTCTTGATCTTGTATGGCTTTGATTTGTCTCAAGTGTCTTTCACTGTTGATTTTCTATGTGGCTTCTCGTTCCTTCTTCATCAGCTGGATGATCTCCAATAAACCTTCAGTGAGATCTCCTTTCAAATGTCGTTCGGCTCTTTCAATTTTTGTCTGCAAAGTGTTTTGATACTCCAACAACTCCTTCAAATTTGTTCGTGTGTTCTCAAAATGTTGTAGAGAGAGATGTCCTTGCTCGGTGAGAGTACTTCCAATTTTCTGACACACCATATCATTTGATTCAGTGACCTGGTCCGGAATCTTCACTGTGCATGTTCGAGCTTGAGGACGAGTACGTTGCATTGAAGAACCTTGTGTAGTCCACAGGTGGACGGATGCGGGGATTCACCGGTGGAGGAGCAGATGGCAGAACGAGTTCTGGTGGTACTGGTGGTAGGTCAGGTTCTGCGGCCGGTGGTGCATCAAACTGAACTGGTGGTGCAAGAGGTTCATGAGAAATTCCTTCAAAGCCCGGTGGTGGCAACACTAGTCCGAATGTCAGCTGCTTCAGATAGTGGATGTACTCGGTGTTGCTCATGTTCATGATTTCCTGGTAGATGTCCGGTTGCACAACAGGTGAAAATTTCAGAAAAGGTCCTTCAGATTCTTTTGACTTCTGTGGTTCGGCTAAGCCTTGACACGGTGGTGGCAAGCTTTTCTCAGCATCTCCTTCTTCAGCATAGATAAACCCTGGTTCTCTTGGTGGTGAAACAGGTGTATATTGTTCAGGGCCTTTCTCTTCAGATACGACCAGAGGGTCGTTTGCAGTATCTCCAACCAGATGTCCTCTAGCCTCAGCCCTTCTGGCTCGCAACTTTTGGAGTCGTACTTGATTCCAGATTCTCTTTGATGTTCTCCTTTCTTCATTGTTCTTCTCCTTTGACACCATTGTTTTCCTGCAAAAGAAAAAAAATAGACTACCTGCACGGTTTTTGGATTGCCGGTATATATAGACTGAGAATCGTCTGAGATCTTCAGGGATTATGGTCGACAGTTGGGTTCTGAACAGGTATGATTGACATCCATTAAATTTGGATGAATTTCTATTGGTTGAGGAGGACGGTGCTAGGAGGAGATTAGACAAGTAACTACTAGTGTTTAAGAGAGGATTTTATCAGATTTGAGGCATGGGTGACGATCGCGTTGAGGGAGAGAGGGTGTCGATTAGGATTAATGAAGGGATCTGATTTTGTGAGAGAAGGTGAGATTTTTGTGGGATTTAATTTATGGGTGGAAGTTTAAGAGGTATAGATTTAAAAGGTGAAGAGTTTTAATGGGATTGGGTTTTATGGGGTAGAGGTTTAAGGGGTGGAGGTTTTAAATCCAATCTGATATCTTCATTCATCATCTCAAAAATATATAAACGTTAGATGTATCATTTATAAAAATATAATCACATAAATATAATCACACACAAATTACATATAATCATACACTAATATTTCGGGTAACTCACACAAAATTTTGAAACATATATGAATATTAAAAGAAATTAAATCACATTCATATATAAACATGCATACATACGGTAAACTCCTAATCACAATAGACATAGATTTAGGAAATTAGACAAATTTCAATTAAACACCAAAATTAAACATACATATATACGGTAGATTCTAAAACACATTTTTAGTCAAAAATATTTAGAAACTAACAAATTATTTTAGATACCAATTAACATAAACTAATTAAAAACATTTAGTAATTAAATCATAACAACACAAATAGGCACGGCATTTTTAACATAAACAAATAAGTCATAAAACACGTATTATGCCATGACTACAATTAAAAACACATAGATATGCGATTAAAACAAATAAACACAAATTTTCGAAAATGAATTGCATGGCACATATTTTCACGTTAAATTTTACATGCAATTTTATAAGTAGATACTAAACACATTGAACTAAATTATTCATGCAATTTTCGAACAAATATATAAACGTATATATTAAATAAAAATTGTATGAGCACAAGTATCAATTTAAATCATGAGATAAAGTCCAGTGATACTTAGCTCATTTCAAGCATTCCCAACTCATGCCTTAAGGTAGAAAATCTCGTTTCGCATAAAGGCTTCGTGAGAATATCTGCAACTTGGTTCTCCGTAGGGATATACTCGATTTTTAGATCTTTCTTTTCAACATGATCCCTTATGAAATGATGTCGTATGTCGATATGTTTGGTTCTTGAGTGAAGCACTGGATTGTGGGTGATAGCGATTGCACTTGTATTGTCACAAAATATGCTAACATCGTCGCAATTCACTCCATAATCCTTCAATTGTTGCTTCATCCACAGAATTTGAGCACAACAAATTCCTGCAGCAATGTATTCGGCCTCGGCGGTACTAGTTGCGATGGAATTTTGCTTTTTGCTAAACCAAGAAACAAGCCTTCCTCCCAAGAATTGACACGTTCAGGAGGTGATTTTTCTGTCTATTTTACAACCTGCAAAATCCGCATCTGAAAAACCAGTTAGCGTAAAATCTGTACCTTTAGGATACCACAATCCAACATTGATTGTGCCCTTCAAGTATCTTATGATTTTCTTTGTTGTGGTGAGGTGGCTTTCTTTTGGATTTGCTTGGAATCTTGCACACACTCCCACAGCATAAGAAATGTCCGGTCTGCTTGCAGTGAGGTATAGTAGTGAACCAATCATTCCTCTATACTTCGTTTGTTCGACATCTTTTCCATCTTCGTCTTTGTCTAGCCTTATTGATGTACTCATAGGAATTTTGATTGATGATTTTCCATCAAGGCCAAACTTCTTTATCAAGTCACGGGTGTACTTTGCTTGATTGATGAATATTCCTTCCTTCAATTGTTTGACTTGTAAGCCCAAGAAATAATTCAATTCACCTATCATGCTCATTTCGAATTTATTCTGCATAAGCTTCGAAAATTTCTCACACAAAGAATTGTTAGTGCTTCCAAAAATAATATCATCAACATATATTTGCACTAATAAAATATGATCACCATCTTGAATTCTAAAGAGCGTTTTGTCAACAAGGCCTTTGGTGAATCCACAGCTTATCAAGAACATTGACAAGGTATCATACCAAGCTCTAGGTCTTGTTTCAACCCATACAATGCCTTTTTAAGTTTGTAGACTTTGTCACCTTTGCCTTTTACCTCAAAACCTGGGGGTTGTTCGACATAAACTTCTTCTTCGAGTAGACCATTCAAGAATGCGCTTTTCACGTCCATTTGATAAACGGTGAAATCTTTGTGTGCGGCATAGGCTAGGAAAATCCTTATAGCTTCGAGTCTGGCTACCGGTGCAAAGGTTTCATCAAAATCTATTCCTTCTTCTTGAGAGTATCCTTTTGCAACGAGCCTTGCTTTATTCCTAACAATCACGCCTTCTTCGTTTGCTTTGTTCTGGAAGACCCATTTAGTTCCTACAACATTGTGGTTCATTGGTCTTGGAACAATTTCCCAAACGTCATTTCTTTTGAATTGATCGAGTTCCTCTTGCATGGCGTCAATCCAACTTGGATCATTTAGAGCTTCGTCCACTTCTTTTGGTTCAATCTAAGATAGATAACATGTGAACAATGCTTCCATGGCAGATGATCTTGTTTTCACGCCATCTCGAACACTTCCGATCACTAAATCTGGTGGGTGATTTTTGAGCCATCTTAAGTCTGGTTCAAAAGGGTGCATGG